CCCACCTGAATCTAGTTTGGATTCTTCTCAATTCATTACAAACATCTTTAGAAAGAAAAAAACAGGACATGGTATAATTGGGGATAGCACTAGCAATAGCCTTTAAAAGTATTTCCTTTCTTGCTTAGGAGAGTAAAGATTCATGCTACTTGGACAATAATTTTCCTACTCTTTCAATTAGAAAATTGAATAAGGTTTTTTTTTTATTTACCAATTTTTGTAGACAGTCGCAAATAGATAGATGGGGACACCACTTTTTTCACTTTAAGAAATCTGGCCATCATTCTTTGGATTTTAGGATGCAAGTTTCTGCTGAAAAAGATCTCAATTTTTGAGAAATCTACCTATTGTCCAAAGGCCTCTTCATAGTGCTTGAGAGTATCCAAGAGAAACTGCCCCTCCCCCCCCCCCCCTAAAGTTTGCTTTAGTAAATATGTAACTATCATCTACAAAAAATAAGTGAGAGACAGTTGGATAGTTTCTGGTGATTGAAATGCCAATAATCTTCTTTTAGGTAACAAGCTCAGTAAGTTTAGCAGACAAAGCTTCTAAACAAAGTCAAAATAGGTAAGGGGACAGTGGATCTCCTTGCCTAAGACCCCTTTTAGGATAGAATTTATTACTACGGTTTCCACTTACCAACATTCTATATGAGACTATGGTTACACAATGCAGAACCCAATTAACCCATTTATCACCAAACCCCATCTTTAGCAACACCTTCTCAAGAAAGATCCATTCTACCCTATATTTGTCCTAGATGTATCTACGTGGAGTGAAAGCACTTTGATTCTCACTGATCAATTTTCCTAATAGATGTTTGACTTCATTTACCATGACTTTTGCAATGATCTTGTACACTATGTTACATAGGCTTATAGGTCTATAATGAGAGGCAGAGTCTAGATTCCTTTGCTTGGGTATCAGAGCTATGAATGTTTCATTGAATTCCCTAAGCATTTTACCAGTTATAAAAAATGTTTGATTGCTTTAATCACATCACTACCTACTAACCCCCAAAATTTTTGGAAAAATAAATTTGTATACCCATTCGGACTAGGAGCCTTCCTTGAGGCCATTTGAAACAGAGCCTCCTTTTTCTCTTCCTCAGATATGTCTTTTTCTAAATCTTCTCTATCCATCTCACTCAATTTGAGTTCTACACTGGATAGGATGTCTTCATGATGGGTGGGAGGTTTTGAAGATACTTTTGAAATGGTCTTCCAACTCTTTTAAAGTCGCCCACTCTCCATTGACTTTTTTAATGTGCACAATTTTATTTCAACTTTTCCTACCTTTTACTATTGAGTGGAAGAACTTAGTATTTCTATCACCATATTGCAACCAATTCACTCTTGATTTCTGGAGCCAAAACATTTCCTCCCTCTTAAGCCAAACATTTAATTCTGACTCCAAATTCCTCACTATGTTTTGGTTAAAATCGTATCCTTTCTTGCTTGACTCCCTACTCATTTGAGCTTTTAGATCCGTGATCCTCTGCTGAACATTTCCAAATCTACACTTGTTCTAGGCCCTAAGACTTTCCTTCAGCTCCCTGCATTTGGTCCCCAATTTAATTTGACTGGACCCCTTCCTTTCTGTTCTCCATGATTTCTCCAACAGGTCTTGAAACTCCTCATGATCGCTCCACATCCCTTCAAATCTAAATGGCTTCCTATTTTTAACTCTCTTAGCATTAGTTTCCAGAAGAATTAGCAAGTGATCAGACCCCAAAGAGAAAAGAGCTCTTACTTGGAAGTTGTTAAACAGATTTTGCCATTGAGCATTGCATACCACTCTGTCCAATTTTGCTCTAATTAAATTATTCTCTTCCCATTTGTTTGACCAAGTAAAGACAGGTTCCTCACTTTGCAATTCCTACAATCCACAACTATCAATAAAGGATCTATAGTTTTGTAATTGGATTTCATTACAAGTCTTACCCATGCAGAATGAAATTTAGGTCACCCAAACAAACCCATGGGCCCTTAATCAGACTTTCCAATTTTTTCCAACTTTGTAGGAAGATTCTTCTTTTGGCTTTCTTTGGTTCACCATAAATGAAGGAGCAGTGCCAATCACCACTCCATTGATTAGCAAAACTAACATGGATTAGATTTCTATCAACATAGTAGACATTCACCTCAAATTCCTTTTTCCAAAAAAGAGTTAACCCCCACTAAGCCCAATTGCATCTACTCCCTAGCAATTCCAGTCCTTAATTATTTTTAGTTTTTCTTACAGTTTAGCAGTGAAGTTTTTGTCTCCATTAAAAACACACAATCCACCTGCAAGCTTAAATAGGTCTCTCTCAAAGATCGAATTGTCAGGGATAACTCCAATCCCTGACAATTCCAACTCAGAATCCTCATTTTTCACCTAGGGCTTGTTTCGGGACAGGACCCCAAACCCACTTATTAACCGGGTCACCCAAACCAATACACACTAAGTTTCCTAAACCCACTTTTTTATTGATACAATCCTTAATAGCTATATAAGCAGGACCTAGGGGCTCTTTTTTAGGTATATGAGTCTCATCATGTATTGGGTAATTTTTTCTTTTTTTTTCTTCTTTTTTTTTTGAATTTTGTATATGTACTTCTTATCCCCAAATACTTTAGTTTGAATTTAATGAATCCCTATCTACAACCTTCTAGAATAGAATCCTTCATAAAAACACTCTTCTGCAGACTTTTTTCCTTGCTCAATATTATAAACAAATTTTTCCCTTATATTCCCTGTTCTAAAGCAATTCAAAATCTAAATATTTAAAAACTCATTGCTACTCAAAGCAACATTAGTAAATTTAAATAAATAACAGTGAGATAGAAAAAACTGAAGAATTTTGTCTTACCTCCTCATTACGCAACTCATTGTGACAGTTCCTCGTAGCCAATTCTGTTGTGTCGAACTCCATATCGTTGAGACAAAGTCATCCCCTTTGTCTCCTACTCCTATACCCACTAGGTCTTCAGTGTTATCTTCCATTAAATCATCTATGTCACTAACCGTCTCATCTTCCTAGTTTTCAATTTCTCTCTAACCCTCCCAATTTGGCCCAAACCAGTATGGTTCGCCCAATTGGTCACCCCTTGATTTTTTGGTAGACTTACCAACTTGGTCTTCTGAATTAGGGTACGAAGCTTCTAATTCTCTAATAATCACCCCATCCACTCTCCTTTTCTTTTGGGTACTGAAATAGTACACACCCTACATTAGCTCAGATTCTCCTATGGCATCTTTCCCCTTCGCCTTTTTTCTTTCCTTCAAATTTATTTGGTCCAAATCCTCATATCCGAATTGATCTGTTGTAGCCTCCCCTACCGCCATGTCAATATTTTCTATCGACTCCAACTGGTTCTGCTGACACCCACTCCTTGACTGATGTGCCCTCATCATCATCATTTCTCTTTTTGAGCACCCTCCTTTAGCAAGCATCAAATCCGCCTCCGTACTGTCATCTTCCCCAACCTCAGCCTGCCGACAAGATTTCTCTAGCGAGATGATCAAACGAAAAAGTGCCCTCTAGTGGGAAGAAGCTTTGGAAACCAGGATTAAAACTAGATGCATTTTGGAACAATTTCCTTCTACAAGATCCAATCAATCTGGGAAGCTCATTGCGATTTTGCACATGCTTGGGTGAGGCCTCTTCAGTTTCTGCAACCCCCATTGTATCTAGGTTTCCTTCCTCTTCGAAGGCCGTTGACAATCTCTCTTGCTCATTGTCCCTCATCTCTCCTTCATTTGATTGTGCTGTCCACCATGTGGCCTTTCTCGTTCTTTCCTCTCCTCTGGACAAGTCGATGAACTTGAAGTCATTTCTCTCCGAGGAAGCCTTGAGCAATGGACCATAGATTCCCATACCATCCCCTGAGTTTAAGTTCTGGCAAGCCATCATATTGGCTAACTCCTCCATCACCTGAATGTTTGAAACCTTTTGGCAATTCAATTCTTTATGACCAATGATTCCACATCGATAACAAAATTTTGGTAATTTTAAATATTGAAAACCATACCATTCCTTTCCTCCGTTCTCATTGTCATCAAAGTTTCCAATTGCCAAAGGTTTACTTATGTCCAACCTTACTCTTATCCGAAAATATCTCTCCAAAAGAGGTTCTTCATCCTCAGTTTCTTCCTCTTCTTTTTCCTCAATAACTTCATCTTTAATTGCTTCTCCTGCAACAACCACCATTTTTGCACCCCATTCCCAACATCTTTTTTCAACTGTTGCTTTTAGGCCCCATTCGTTTTTCCATGAGTTACTTATCCAGGGAAATACAATTACTTGGGTAAGTTTTTCTTGTGAAACACTTACCCAGGTAAGTATGTTTACCCATGTTCTTTTATTTCCCAAGTAAAAAAAGGAAATGACCATTTTAACCATAATAATTCATTATTAAAAGGGGCATTTTTGTCCCATTCATGTGTTGGAAACTTTCCCCCAAGCGAAAAAGTTATTTATTCACCTAGAAGATGGGTATCACTTACCTAAAAAAATTATCAGAAAAAAGAACATGGAATTCCTGATCAATAAAAACCAAAATCCCATTGACCAGATTTCCCCCCTCTCAAAGTCCCAAAAAATAACACTCCCTAATATCCGTATTGTGATACACAGCTTCTCTAGCTCCACTTTGTTGAAGGGTATGTTGGGTTCCATTTTTGCAGTAATATCGGATACCCATTCATTAACCAGGGTTCCTGTCGCAAAAACCCTTTTAGATCTTTTTCTTTAACTCAGAGAATTAATTGAATGAATTTTCGCCTCAGCAGTCAGCACCCTGCAGCAGCTGCAGGAGGTATTTTGTCTTAAAAATAAAAAATAAAATAAACCTTTTAACCCGGTCGGACTTTTTGGCTCAATATCATATCTGGTTCTTTGATAAACCTTACCACTTTTATATGGTTAAACTACACGTATCATAGTCGAACTCTTTAGAGTTTAGACAAACAAACGTGTCTGATTTTTTATTTTCTTATTTATTATTGGTAAAATTACAAAGATAGACCGAGAAGCAAAGAGTGTCCACTGCACACCCCTGGCCCTGGGCGTCTGCAATTGCAAACCTCCCTTATCCTTCACTTCCTCCCGCTCTTTCTTCTTTCTTCGTCTTCTTTTTTAACTGATGCGGTGGTAACCATCTCCTTCTTTTTTCTTTCTCTGTTGCACGCCATGGCAGTTGCCACCGTGTCTTCACGCTTTCCACTCGACTTCCGAATGGTGTCGACTCCCCAATCAACAACAAGTACAAATTCGAAACGAACCCTAGCTTCTTCGGCTGGGGTTTCCGTCAAAGCATCTCTAACCAGCAATCTCATTGCCCCTTTCATCGGTGGGAGCGTTTCCGCTGATTTTTGTGGTCAGAAAATCCGTCCTGCGTCCCTCAACCCGTCGTTAACTTTCTCTTCTGGTTCTCGCGGCAAAAGAGGGGTCGTCACCATGGTAATTCGTTGAGCACATGCCTTTGTATTTATCATCTAGGGTTTCGAAGCTGTTATGATGGGATTCGTTGTTACCGAGAGTCCATGCTAATTGTTTCCCTGCATAGAATTTGCTCAATTCTGAACTGAACAATGATATGGATACCCAAAAGGTTGTCTTTCCATTCGTTCATTTCAATTGTATTGTTTAAATGATTGAACGTTTTCTTTGGCTTTTGGAATGGTGCCTCACATTGTACCTGGGTGGTAATTTGTATTTTCTTAATTTACTAGCAAATTGGATTGCCTCCCATGGGAGGTGCAATATCTACTCGGTGTTCTTTCTCATAGATGTAATTAAAGAGTTTCACTTCAGACTTTCTGGTTGTTTTCAATTCTATACTAGAATGTAGCTGCATATGATAATAAAATTTCTCCCAGCTTTCCTTATTATCCATGTATTTTTCTTCTTTGTAAACAATAAAATCTATTTCTGTTGTTGGTTGTTTGAACTTGATGTGGCATTTGACTGGAATTTTCTTATTGGAATCTGAAGAGTTCTGTTTACCTGTCTTGACTTATTGAGGAACAAACCACATCTTTTCGATTGTTGTTGGTTCCTTACATTTATAGAAATTCTTTCTTAATATTTATTTGGAATGGTTCACATTCAAAGTTTACATTTACATCTATTGTACCAGTTATACTGTTCAGATGTTATATTACTTTGCCTTTTTGATTCTCACTGAGTTGTGGAAGGCAGCTTGTCTTTTCTGCTTCATTTTCTTGTTGGTTCCTGTTGCATGTAATTATATATCATGTTGTTTTATTTGTAGTTACAATCCTTTTTTAGGTTTTCCGAATGTTTTTGTCTGAAACAGGTCATTCCTTTCTTAAGAGGAAGTGCATGGGAGCAACCTCCTCCAGATTTAGCATCTTACTTGTATAAGAATCGAATTGTATATTTGGGCATGTCTCTTGTTCCTTCTGTCACAGAATTGATCCTAGCAGAATTCTTATACCTTCAGTATGAAGATGATCAGAAGCCAATTTACCTCTACATTAACTCCACTGGGACAACCAAGGTAGGTGGTGCCATAGTGGTCTTTATTCAGATAAATCAAAATTTTCTCTTCATATCTAATTCAAAATATTTAAAAATTTATAATCTACTAAATGTCATCTACTCACATACCCAAAGAAGGATGCTTAGGGTGTAGGATGTTGGAGCAATTATTTAAATACAAATAGCATGACTAGGCATATAGACCATGAAATTTCATTGGCTGCATTAGGTGGCCTTCCTTGAGTTATTTTAACTACATAATATTTCCATCCATAAAGGTTCAAGATGCAGATATATTTCACGTGCAACAATCATATGATGCTTTTTATCCTTGAGTCATTCATATTATTACACCTTACCACATGGGTTGTTGTGGTGGCGGTTTTTTCTCAAAAGCTTTTAATACAAAGTCTACCTCAACTTCATCAATCATCATAGCTTGCATATAACTTTTCTCCATATGGTGCTGTTATATTTATTAGAGTCCTTTCTTTTATATTTTTTTCTCCAATTATTAGGACATCATTTCTTCCTTATGCATATGGGATTCCCTAAGCTTGTCAATATATTTCTTACCTTTGATATTTTTTTCCTATTTTTCCAGGGTGGGGAGAAGTTGGGTTATGAGACAGAGGCATTTGCAGTCTATGATGTAATGAGGTCATAAATCTTTACCTTTTCTCTAAATTATGATGTTGGACACAAGGATCAAAGTATCACTATCGGGTTTCGTATCAGATAGCTTGGATACAGTCATACAGATAAGCTTTGGTAATGCATGGATACAAACATAAGATATGGAAGCCCTTGGATACACTAGGGAAATGCATACAAGTCACATAAATTTATTAATAACACCAAATCTAGAGCTGAATTATCTATACATACAGTATAAACACATTAGAAATGCACACTTTAATAGGTTATATGAAGAGAAGGCCTTAGCAAATCAGGGGTTTTTTCGACCCTACAACTTTCAGGTGGCCTAAGAAAAGAGGGAGGGTCTTATGGAGGTGTGTTAGGGCTGCTTTACTTTGGACAGTTTGGGAGGAAAGGAATAACAGAATTTTTAATGATATAGAGAGGCATGAGGATTCTGTGTGGGAATGTTTGCTGTTGGCTATTAGCTAGGCTAAAGCTTTGGACCTTTTTTCACTTTTCTCCTTTGATGACATACGGAGAAATTGGGAATTAGTTGCTAAAGCTTCTTTGGTCAAGGGCAAACCTGTTATAACCTGGAAGCCTCTGGAAAAAAGCTTGACAAAACTAAACTTTGATGGAAGTAGCCTTGGTAATCCTGGGCCCTCTGGGGGAGTATTTAGGAATGCAGAGGGCCAGATAGTGGCTTTATTATCCAGTCCAATTGGAGTGGGAGATGCGGTTAGTGCAGAGGTCCAAGCTGTTTTACAAGGGGCTCAAATCGCTAAAGAGGTGAACATCATAGATCTGATCATAGAAGGTGACTCTAAAGTGGTAATAGGGTGGCTGAAAGAACCGGAGACAGCAGCTTGGCCTTTAAGGGGAGTGAAGATTCAAATGGCTAACTTCTAATATAACAGTAAGAGTTCAGTGGGAGAGAAGATCGGCAAATAGGCTGGCAGACCTACTAGCTAAATAAGGGGTGTATAGGGGTCAATTATTCTGGGCTACACTGTAATTTATATGGTTTTTGAGGCTGCATCTCGCGGCTCTTGGGAAAACTAAATGCTGTATCAGTTGTAAACCCATCTTAAAAATTTTTAATGAAATGCTTTATTATTCATAAAAACAAAGTTATATGAAGAGAAACATTACAATCAACAATACAAACACTCTAGAACATGCAAACATCATACAATGATTGCCACTCTATTTGGTTTTTAAAATTATAATTTTTAATTATATTAATTTTTTGGGGAAATTTTATTTATTTAGTATTTTATACAAATAATAACTCTATTTATTTCAAATAATAAATATGTTTTCATTTGTAACATATAATTATTGTAAAATAAATCATATAAATCATTTAAGGTAGATAAAATAAATTGTGTTTATGATTTTTAGTTTTTTTTTTAATTTTTGGGGAAAATTAAATCTTAAATTATTTGTTTCAGTTTTTATAATTATAATTTTCATTTTTACTAATTTTGTTTGTAAAATTTGTTTATTTAGTATTTTCATATAAATAATAATTCTATTTTTCAAATAATAAATATGTTTTCATTTTTTCATTGTACAAAGGACCAGTTATTAATATAATCATACTTTACCTTCTTTCAGAAAAAAATATTTTTCATTTTTAACATATAATTTATATGTAAAATAAAACTTATAGATAATTTAAGATATATAAACAAATTATTTTTATAGTTTTTAGTTTTTATTAAATTTTTGGGAAAAATAAATCTTAAATTATTTATTTCAGTTTTTATAATTATAATTTTCAATTTTTATTAAAGTTCAAAAACAGCTCAAAAGTGGCCAATATTTCAAATTCGGAAAACTTAGCACCAATACACTTCCATATCGGTGCATATCAGATCGTATCCACTGATACAACGCGATATGGCCTGATATAGAGGTGTATCATGTCAATACACACAACTTCTAGGATATGTACCCAATCATAGCATATCCTGTATCTGTGGCCATGGATACGGATACAATATGCCCCGTATCAGGAGTATTGTATTGATACTTTAATCCTTGGTTGCACATAGTTGTCAAGGCAACTTGGTGATTCTATGTGATAGTGGAGCGCCTAGTCACCTAGGCAAGTGCCTATGCCATCGAAATTTATAAAGAAAAATAACTAAATTCCAGGTCAGTTCCCTAATTTTACATACCAATAACATGCATATAAATTAAAAAAAAAAAAAACAGCAATACACTTTCTTAATAACATTGATTTTCCTCTTAAAACATAGAAAATCATTGCAAAATGACATTTTAAATAAATTTATTTTAATATATCAAGCATAACACTATATGGTTATTAATCATTGTTTTTTGTGTCTTGAACTTGTCATACTTGTAACTATATGTAGTTGTATGGGAAATTTCTCTTTCAATTGCTTTCTGCAAATTAGAAAGCTTTACCCATTTTGAAATTTCTGACAAGTTTTCCCCCCATTTTTTTGCTTTTCAAGGATTGAAATCTTGCCAATTGAAATTAGAAACCCTGAATGGAAAATTAGAAGGGACAATGTTAATGCCTAGAGGAGCTTATTGATGACAAGCAGGTACTTGGGGATGCTTTTCAGTTATTTATCAAAAAAGAAAAAAAGCAAGTACCTGGGTATCAATATCCAAATTAAGGAGTACTGCACATCAAGACATAGGAAGATCTTGTCAAGATCATTAGAATACCATAAACTACCTTGCTCTCAAATCTTAAACCAATACCTTGAGGTCCTAAATGTCACATTGAACCTAATGTTTCAAAAATAGTGGAATGATGCTGGCTATAATTTTACAAGGACAAGTTCTAGTAACTTTGTGTGCTTAGAATCCCAGTCTTTTAGATACAAACTTAGGGTCCGATTGGTTTGCAATTGGAATCGGAATTGGCTGGAATGGATCCTCACTCCCTACTCCCTAGGGAGGGGGAGGGAATGGCCATTCCCTCAAATGGGAGATAGGATTCCAATTCCGCCCAACCAAATGGTTGGAATCAGACTGGACCATTCCAGTTCCGGTTCCAGACCCCTATTCCTGCAAACCAAACAGACCCTTGTTCATGATAATTGAATACCATAAACTCTGTTTTGTTGGGGGAAACAATAAAGCCACTTTCTTGGCAGAGCAACTTTTCTATTTTGAACTTTGCTCAAGCCAAAATCATCTCTTGCTTTCAAAAACTACCTGCCAAATAAGCATATGATCCTTTTTAGGCATTCTGACTTGTCTTTTGATGATATATAGATTATAGAGTGCACAACCATATATGTATATAAAATCTAGGGTAAATTGCTGAAACCTCTGCCGAAGTTTCTGACTGTTGCTGAAACCTCCCCCAAAGTTTGGTAATTGCAATCACCTCCCCTGAACTTTCTAACACAGTTGCAAATAGATCCCTTCTGTTAATATCCTCTAGCAAAAGGGGCATGAAAATGCCCAAAATACCCATGCAGTTACTTTTGACCAAAATGTTTATTTTCCATATTTTCTCTTCATATCAATCACTACCCAAAACCCTTCCAATCTCTTTTCCAAAATTGATCTATTTTCCAAATTTTCCCTTCATATCAATCACTCAAAGGTAAAGCTGCAACTTCAAACTCTCTTTTTTTGTTCATAAAATTTGTATTATTCTTTTTTCTATAGAAACCAGCCTCAATAGTAATTACATGGGTATTTTGGACATTTTGTGCCTATTGTTAGAGGATTCAAATAGAGGGTGTCTACTTGCAACTGTATCAGAAAGTTCAGGGGAGGTTTTAAAAATTTACCCTAAAATTTATAGAATATGTAACTTTTGTGCAGGAGGGTTGCCCTTACATATTTCAGAAAATGCTAGTGTCCTGAGTTTGGTTAACATAGCCCTTAAATCAGAAAAGGAAAGATGTAACACTCCAAAACCTCCTTGAGTTTGAATGAAATCATGTCTGTGCTTTGTCCTTTTGTGATTTTAGGGTTGTGTGATGGGCAAGGCCTGTTGACATTGATCTACATATCAGAAGTTGGAAGAATCGATACCCTTACAAAAAGAGACAGAAACTGCCACATGAAGACTTCTAGAACAAATAAATAAATAAGAATAATGTCAATATACTTCTTTGCACAATAGTTTACTGATAATAGGAGTTGCTTATCCACAAAGTCTAAAGCCTAGATGAGGATATTCTTTTGTATATTGGTTGCTGAGAAATATTAGTGTTTTACTTCGGGTTATAAGTGTATAACTTGTCAGGAGGTGGGGGCATAAAGCTTTATTGGAAGCCTGGAAAATCGTCATCATCATCTAAGCCTTATCCCAAATATATGGGGTCAGATACCTGAATCCTATTTTGTCATTCCATTCTGTTTAGTGCCATATCCATTGTCAAATTATGAGTGCTTAAATCATTTCTCTACTTCAATCCATGTCCTTTCTAGTCTGCCTCCAGCCCTTCTAGCCCCTTCAACTTGCAACAGATCACTTCTTTGTTACATATATTAAAATATCATTATATCAATTCATATGTTATTTTTATATTTGTGAAGGATTAACCTTGTTGACTTGTGGGTTGATAAAAGCCGAGCTTCATTTCCCATTCCAGGTATGTTAAGCCACCCATTTTTACACTGTGTGTTGGTAATGCTTGGGGAGAAGCAGCTTTGCTTCTGGCTGCTGGAGCAAAGGGAAACCGTTCGGCTTTGCCCTCTTCTACAATAATGATTAAGCAGGTCCGTCCTCACTACTAGTGGGTGCTAACGTTTTAAACTTTGTTGTGTCATGTATGTATTGTTCTATAGCTTGGCTTTCCACTTTGACTATGCATTTGTTTCTATCTGGTTGATCTAGCTAAGTTGATTGGATATTAGCATGAAACAATTTATTTTTCCTCAACCAATCTGCAGCCAATTGCAAGATTTCAAGGTCAGGCAACAGATATTGATCTTGCAAGAAAAGAAGTAAAGAATGTGAAGGAGGAGTTGGTAAGTTTTGAACATCACTCCAACTACATTATGCAATTCTTCCCTTTGTATCTACTTTTTCTTATTAGTAATATATTGACATGAATATGAAGAAAGAGTTGCTATGATTTGGCTTTAGTTAATATTTTCTATTGGAAAAAGGATAAAAAGTTTATTTATGATTTAAAATCCTTCTGGTTATTTATTTTCTTTCTCACAGCATAACGTATGATAACTTGTATTTTACCATTGCTTAATGGTACCTTGTTGAAATTACCTGAGGTAGATCTGATATAATTTTTATAAAAAAAAATTCCTTGTTTAAGTTATCCAACTTAAAAAAAAATCCCATCGTCTAACAATTATAATTAGCATTGTGTTACAACCGCTTACATCAGGTTGCCCATTAGAATCAATTTAGCACACAGGTTGCACCTTTTGTCGCTAAAGGTTATATACTCAACTGGTTTTATGTCTCCAATCTAAATTCACTAATACTCTAAACCTTATCCTGATAAAGGTAATAAATCTTCAAAAACTTCATTTTTCCTTTGTCCTAAACCCACCAATATCCTCCCTAAACAGTACTAAAACCAATAAAATCAATTCTCAACCATTCACTTAATTTCTTCTATAGTCTACAAATTGTGTTACTTATCCATCCTGCCTATCAGAGATTTTGATTTATGGTTTCAGATATGGTCTTGAAACCATATCTGTTGTATTACCAACCAGGCTGACAACTTGAATCCTTCTATTGAACCTGGTTTTTGCAAACATAGATTTTCTGTTTGACCAATGTCTTTATTGATCTATTATTGTAGATACAGGTGGGATTTGTGAAAAGCCACTTTAGCATTTACTTATCCAAACAACAAGGATTTAAATCTGTAGTTCTGCTAAACCTTTGTGCAAGCTTCTTATTTGAATTTGACATATCTTTCAAGTTTTAACTCTGGTTTGAAATTGTATCATTGGCTGTAAGTACTTGCCTGTTAGTGAAGTTGGCTGACATTTTATTTACCGTACTTGGAAACAAATTTTTTTTGGGATAAGTGGACTGTAATCCACCTCAGAAATCTGAATTGCAGCCTCCTCCTAGTCTACTAGTAGCCCCCCACCCCCCTATAAACCGCATCCTGCCCGTGAATTTGGCATCAATCCACAGGCAGGATTCAGTCAACCCCTAGAAATCCTAGCTCCACCCTAGGGGTGGACTAAACTATAAAACCCCATTTTTTTTTCCTTCCAAAGGTTTTCAATCAAGAATTTATTTATATGCAGAAATTCTATGATCACTTAGGCCATAAAAAATGGCTTTGCTTGAGTGAGCAGTTAATTGATGAGTTTTGAAATAAATTTTGGATATTTCAAGAACACCTCCAAGAATGAAGTTTAACATAACACTATCCTTTTTTTTTGGTAACTTAACATTATCCTATTTATTTGTCTATTTCAAGGTTAATCTCTACTCAAGGCATATAGGGAAATCACCAGAGCAAATAGAAGAAGATATCAGGCGTCCGAAATATTTCAGCCCTAGTGAAGCGGTTGAATATGGTATTATTGACAAGGTATTCCATGAAGAACTTAGAAATGTTTTCTATTTGGTCTTTTTGTCGCATCAACATTTTCTAACATAATGTTTCTCTGTAGGTATTATATAATGAACGGGCAAGTGAAGATCGTGGTGTTGTTTCTGACCTGAAAAAAGCAAACCTTATTTAAGCAAATCTCAAAATCAGGTGGGAAATTGTATTTATACAAGCATTAATGCAACAATAAGGTTGAGGTCGTTGTCTGATTGTTGAATGATTTGGAAAAGAACTGCATTCATGTATGATAAATCAGGTTAGCTTAACTGTCCAATAATTAGCGTCATTACTGGAATTCTGTTGAAAATAGTCTGCAAATTTTGTCAGAACTCCTTTACAGGGTTTATGAATAGTTGGCATTATACCGTTAATACTGTTGAACAGATTTGAGAGCCCACACCACTAAGCTATCTGGTTTAGATAATTGGGACCAAATGATCTCACCAACCAGTTTTATCTCTCACTAGTGATTGTAGAATGATCATAACTATCTATTGTGGTTCCTTCTTTCCTCGATGTGGGACTTCAACAAGTTGTTTTCCTCCAACAATCAATGGCATCAGTTTTCCTTGAGGAAATTGTCCGGTCGTCCACAAGGTTCAAAGTATCGGAAACACTAAGTGTATCGGAAAGATAATTTTAAGAGACGTAGGGAGATACGTCTTGGATACACGTGTATCAGAGAAAACTAAGATGTGCATAAATATGCATAAAAACATTATAAATATTTTAATAAATTATAAAAATACATCAACAATACTAAATATAAGACTTCAATGAGGTGTATATATATTATATTAATATATTTTATTGGTTTTATAAAAAAATATATTGTAGCTAATTATGATTTCATTAAAAATGTTATGCATAACTATATATTATAAATTATAATTCTTAAGTTTTAGTGTTTTACGGGATGGAAAAAAATCCAACTCTCTTATTCAATCATAAAACATGCATTGTCACAATTTCTAAGTGAAAATATAATTAATAATTATTTATTATTTATTTCTAAAAATTATAAAAAAAATAAATAAATATTGTATAATATATTCAAAAAATAGTTATTAAAGAAGAAATGTCAATTGCCTTGTGGATATCATAGATCATCTATAGAATTATAATATATTCAATCATTGTGATCAAATGATAAAATATAATTAATTAATTATTTTTTAACTCAATATAAAATAAAAAAATAATTATTAAACAAGAAATTTCAATTGGTCTATGGATATGATAGATCATCCATAGAATTATAATATATTCAATTGTTGTAATCAAATGTTAAAATATAATTAATTATTATTTATTTTTTAATTCTAAAAATATAAAAAATAAAAAATATTAAAGAAGAAATTTCAATTGCTCTATGAATATGATAGATAAATCCATAGTCCTAAAACATATTTATTTTTTATAGGTAGAGAAAAAATTATATTTTCAAATTTTTTGTTAATTTATATTTTCCCCAAATATCTCCATGAAATTTCCGTAAATCTATTGATAACACAAAAAAAAATTGTGATTTTGAATGTAAGAAATGTAAATCAACATAAATTTAAACATTCAAGAAAAAAAGAACTCACAAAATATTATAAAATTTTGAAACAATTTACTTATTTTTTCCATATTTTTTCAAAATTTGAAAAAACTTTAAAAAAATTAACGATTCACACTTGTGTTTTGCAAATTTTTGCAAATCTAACACTCTAGGAATGAGATTTGGAGTTTTAGAGTCATTTGGGGGTGAAAGAAACATTATTTTGGGAAAAAGAAGCTTGATTTTCTTCATTTTTTTTTCAATTTTTGGTTGTATCTTTTTCATCGATATGCTACCGATACACCCTGATACACTCCTGATACGGGTCCAATATGCATAAAAAAATGAAACACCCGATTTCTATGCATGTCTCGTATCTGTTTTTCAAAGATATGATATAGGGTGTATCATATCGAAATTTTAAACCTTGGTTGTCCCTCAAATAATTTTCCATGTCGAGCATGCGAAAGAAGATTGAAAAACAATTGCAACTCCCCCCACCCCCTCTCAACTCATTTTTGTCTCCAACTTTGATAATAGGGCAATTTTCGTTGTTGCCAATCCTGAAGAATTAAGTGAGAAGAGTGAACATTAGTCTCGAAATGTACATGTAAAGCCAGCCACACAGCTTGAGCAGAAGTACAGGTGGTGAACTGATTTTGTTGTGTCCACATTAAAAGAGCCTACCGCACTTGCATCAGGTGGACCGTTCGGTCCATGACTAACATGGACCATCCAATCATATTTTTCCATGTCGATTATAAACTTAGAGTGAAACTTAATAGCAGTTAAGACCCTTGGAAATATAGATGGTGAAGGGCGGTTTCGATGCCAATGTAGAGCAGCAACAGTAACCTCTTCTTCCCCCTTCTCTTTTTCTTCTTTCTCCCCTTTTCTTTCTTTCCTTTTCTTCCACTAGCCACTAGTCATCGTCTTCACCACACCTGAACCAGAAATCGCTGCTACACCATCCTTCTCTCTCTCTCTCTCTCCCCACTACACCTACTTGTAACCCGTTTCTCCCTTGATCTTCTGTATACAAACCAGTCTAGTGTGTTTTCATTCCTCGTCAATAAATTGCCATTAGACAACATTGGAGAAGTATCATGTGGTCCTGCTTGGAAGCTTGAATCATCCCGTGTGAAGGTGTTCCTTCATCGAGAACTTAATCCTGAATTTTCCATCCCTTTCCATGAATCCATGCTAGATGACTAATATTTTTCCTCCCATCAGATGCTAGCTCAATCCAATTGAACCCAACTTACATTTCAAACTAACAAATCCTGGTTGACCTTTGTTTCTGTTTCTGCTTGATTGGGATTAAAGAGGGAGAAAGAGAGCGATAGAAAGAGAAAGAGTAGAAGGAGATGGACTGAATGATCTGCCGGCCTGATTTGAACATCCCAATATAATTTTTAAAGAAAAACTTGAAAATGAAAATAGATCTTCAGCTTCTATATGCTATACTAAGGCAGGGGTGAATTCGAGTCAAGCTAAATATCTAACTATTCAAGCTTAACTCACCAAAAAACTATGAAACTGTACTCGAGCTCGAGATAGATTTGAACTAGAGACTTAGAATTAGAATTCGGAAGGTTGACTCAAAAGCTTGACTTGAATTCAACTATGAGCTTGAGCCAAGCTTCCTGTATACAATATAAAAAATTATGCTCGATTATACTCACGAGTCGAATTTGAATAACTCATGAAAAACTCCATCTACCCGTATTCCAAGAAACAACCAGAAATTAGATTTAGTCCTCACAAGACTCTGCTCACACCATATGCACAGTCATTTACAGCGTGCATTAAAAATATCTTCTCATGAAAATAAACATATGCGTACATTGTGAGAACAGTTGTGCGAGGACTGAATCCCAAAATCGGTTGGTTGATAGGCAGAAGTGCCAATTGGAGTGCACGCATTCCATTTGTTGCGTGATACAGTAGTATCCATGAGGCAGATGTGCAATAGCATCAGAATTCATAACTCTTCAGTACATTAATTCGTTCCTAATGCTGAGCTCCACTTCAACCTAGCATATTTCATTCCATCTCTGAGAAACTTGCTTACCTGATGACAACTAACCTTGCAAACAATGCTAAAGCAAATACGTACGAAAAGGTAAAAGGAGGGTCCTAAACGAGTTCATGGCTCTATGCCGCATAAGGTAGGATCCGTTAAAAGAGCTGTTTAACTTTTGATTTACATTATGTCTTTTTATAAGGAAAATATATATGATGCCAGAAAGATGATACGTTTAGGCTTATATTTATATATTATATCTTTTTATAAGAAACAAAATCTATAATGCCGGATTGATATGATACTAGAAAGACTTTGACCAATCATAGGGGTGTGTTTGGTGTGGTTTAAAGTAGATCTCAGACTTAACTGGCAAAGTACACCTCGAGAATTTCTAAGACCAAACCAAACCATTTTACTATAGTTTGGTGTGGTTTAGAATATGCTTTGGGTCATCCTATTAGACTTAACCCAATAAAAAGCCCAAACAACATATATGCTTGCATAAATGATTAATATTGTCTTTTAGCCACCATAAAATCATCGAATCATTGTAATTGATATGCTATGTAAGCATCAATGGTTTAGATTGACACTTCCTTTCTTATCGATTAGCTATTTTTGCTTTCTGTTACAACAGTTAAATAGGCATTCCCAATCCTTTGAAAGTGATTTGAAGTCTGAGCTTTGAAGAAAACTACCTTCATAGTAGTCTTACTGCTTCTAGTAGGTGCTAACTCAGTAAAATGGGGTTTTTGGGTGGGAACCCCTTAGGGACTATGAAACAACAATACTTCGTTTTCCAACCAAAAACCAAATTTGGCTATCCAAGTATCATCCACAAGATTGTTGCAACAATATCAGGAAATATAACAAGATGAGGAACTCTAAGATAATTAGAATGTAGATGCTGTAGTGGTAACCCATACAGAAAAAAGCTGCAATATGCACACAAAGAATTAGCTTTTAGGTGTCTTTTGTCTGGTTAAGGTTATATGTACAGGAATGCTCCAGTCGTAGTTTGAAGAAATATGCAACAACCACTTACCAACCCACTTCTTTAGGATTATAGGCTAAATGGGAATAAAAAATATATCTCTAGTCAAATGGATCGATCCGAGGATCATGCTCACTTGCCATTGCCATCCCTGTACAGAAGCATGTAGGACACATGACCTGCAAAATGAAGTTAAAGGTAGTTTTATAATATTATTTCTATTTAATAATTAGGGGATAGCTACTCCCTACTCTCCGGTAACCGTGTTTTATCATCACCTTCAGTTCTAGCAAAAATGCTATCAATTAAAGAATTGGGCAATCTTATGTACACGGACAGATTTTACGTCAGCCACCAAATACAGCCTTTCTAATGTGAGTGATATGGCAGAAGTCACATACCATCCAATGACAACCTGTGAATCTCCCCCCTATCACAAGCCCTATGGGTAAATTGCATGAATGTACTACTACAATCTCTTTCTCGGGATCTAAGAAAGCATCCTCTATTCCTGAACAAGCTAGATTTCCCAAATAGCAGGTGATGAAGGGTGATTTGGCACAACCTAGTAAGAAGGGGACACGTAGACATGATATGCTCGAGGAGTGACAACTCAGCCAAATGAACCCATTTCACAACACTCAGAGCTCGAGTATTCAGCCACCTCGTCCTAAAAAACCACATCGGCATAGAGACACCTTGACACCTAATACAGTTCGGGAATAAAGAATCGAAGTGCCAATTCGGAGCTAATTAGCCGAAACGCCACATAACCAACTCCAAAGGCCTCCCCAACAGACCCTGAATTTCTCGAGATCACGATGAGACTCGTCCTAGCTCCGCCTGAATCGGAGGTAAACGATAAACCTTATCAACATATTGCTCTCCTTCAAAAACAGAACAAACCTTATCTGCACAGCCTAGAGATCCCAGAGCTCTTTTGTCAGGCCCACGACTACATTATATGAGGACAAGAAACCTTAAGGAAAAGGTACGCATGATTATTTTACTCACTAGCATTCAAGCATTCAAGATTCAGCTCGCATTTATAGTATAAGTACTGACTTAAGCATCGGAGCAACCTCGCCGGGTCAGCTACCCTGGCCGGGTTCTCTGATCTACTATTCTGTAGATCGGTCCAGCTCGCCGCCCAACCAGAGTTCGGATCGTCTTCCAGCTAGGAGTATTTAGATTGCACACCATCAATTGGCGCCGTTTGTGGGAAACGATCGAAAGGTCATCCCAGCTTTAGTCGCAGTTTTATCTATCTCAATGGACTCTTCCAGCAACACCGAAAAAAGTATCGAGATGAACACTACCGGGGAGCAGGATCAGCAATCAACCTTCCCCCAAGGCCCTACAGTATGCATTAGCCAATTCATTATTCCTCTTACCGTGTCCGGAGTCCCGTCACTGTCCGTGCCGCAGAGCGCTACGCAAGTGAGCATCCCGCTTCCCCTAGTGGGTGTGGCTTTCTCTGAGCCATCTGTGGTCCCTCTTGGAATCGGGCACTCCCAATTCCATGACCTCGTCCAGTGCGTTCGGGCAATACAAATCCAGATGTAGCAGGTCCAACAATTTCAGCAATACTATCTGTACCAGCAGTATCAGCACCAGTTTCCACCACTGCAGTAGCAGCCGATTCCACCTCGGCACATAGGACTGCGCCAGGGCCAGAATCCGAATCGACCTGGAACTAGCCAGAACGTCAACCGATCCCCTCATCGGGGTGAGGGGACCTCGCAAGTACCACTTCCTCCCAGGGGTCAGGTTTCGCCCCGTAGGAGGAGAAACGGTCAGCGCACTCCTCTAGTCTCGCAGGGAAATTTTAGGAGCAGGTCCAAGGATAGCCAGCTCAACAAGGCCAATCCACCTTGGAACTCCCAGCAAGAAAATGATGGTTCGCGAGGAGATAATAACCAGCTCAGAGTTCGGGGCACGAACTCGAGGCAGGACCCCCTGTCCCTCGCGATAGACAGTACGAACCCCACAACCAAGAGAACTTAGCGAGAAGGAACCAGGATCCACCTCGCAATAATGCCGAAATACCAAACCAGATTGAAGTCAGCAACACCAACGCCAAGCTGGTGAAGAAGCAGCAGCGACGACGTCGCAAGACACGCCGCCCCTCGGCCAGGAACAGCCCGCCAGCGAAGCCAGGACAACAAGCAGAGCAAGCTAAAGAAAAGGAAGAAGTGAGCTCGGTGGCCATGAAGATTGTGCCTCCACTACTTTGCCGGTCATCCCCACTGTCTCCCGAACTCTTGGCAACTAAATGCCGAAAGATTTCAAGGTGCCCCCGTTAGACAAATATGACGGGTCATTCGACCCCAATGACCATATGGATCCTTTCCAATCTCAAAGGCACCTAGCTGAGGCTGATGAGTCCTGCATGTGTGTGGCTTTCTCCACTACATTTAGGGGGGTAGTCCGAACTTGGTATCGGAACCTTGTGCTAGGCTCCATCAAAAGCTAGTCCCAATTTTCCGACATGTTTACTATGCACTTCATTACTAGTAAGAAGTGCCCGAAGTCGCAAGAAAGCCTTCTAAACGTGGTTTAGAGGGAAGGAGAATCAATTTGAAACTATATAAAGCGCTTCAACGATATTTGCTTGCAGATACCAGACCTCGATCCAGCGGTGCGACTCAATGCAGCAAAGAAAGGAATCACCCATAAAAAGTTCAAGTGGCACGTGATAGCTAACAAACCGAAAGATATCACTGAATTCCTTAGGTTGGCATATCAGTTCATCGATACCGAGGAGGAGATCAACCAAAAGATCGACAATCTACCATCGGAAAAGAGGAAGAGAGAGAATGAAGGAACAAGCAATGGTGGGCAGAAAAGAAGGAAAAGCAAGTCCTCGAGCAGGGGAAGAAGCAAGTCAAGAAGCCGATCCCCCTCGCACACCTGCAAGTCAGGTCGGCGTTCTAGGACCCCACCTATGGAGAGAATGAGCTGTATGCCTTTGAATGCTAAGCGAGGGGAGATCTTAATGGCTATTAAGGATTCCTCTGTCAAATGGCCTCCTTGGTTAAGGGGAGACTCGGCAACAAGAAACCCGAATGTCTACTGCCATTTCCACCGAGATCATGGACACAACACGGAGAATTGCAAGAATCTCCACGACAAGATCGAAGAACTTATCCGCCGCGGGTACCTGAAGAACTTCATATTGCGAGAAGAGAGGGGACAAGTAGACCAACAGGTAGATCGACAAGGGTACCAGAGGAGGAATGGCCCCGAGGTCAGCAGGTAGAATGAGCAATCACCGCAAAAGTTGCCAGAGGAAATACCAGTCCGCAGGGTAATTAACATGATCACCGACAGGTCCATCATCGCTAGATATACATCAGCAGCTGGGAAGACCTTGGTCCACGAATTGGAGAACGAAGAGGAAAAACCGCCAAAGCGACCTCGGCTTGAAAAACCGATATACTTCACTGAGGACGATGCGCGCGGGATCCAGTACCCTCACGATGATTCCCTAGTGGTGAAGTTAAGAATTAACGAATTCGAGGTAAAACGCATCTTGGTGAACTCAGGCAGCTCAGCAGATATACTCTTCAAGGAGACCCTTGACAAACTACGGTTACAACAGAGCAACCTAAAACCAGCAGATATGCTTCTAATAGGGTTCAGCGGCGAGGAGGTCAGACCTCTTGGTCAAATCACAGTACCCGTGGAAGTTGGCACATGGCCAAACATCGTGCAATTCGAGCACACGTTCCTGGTAGTCGCGACTCCCTCCCTCTATCACGCATATTTTATGTGCGATAGTATCCACTTACTATTTAGTGATGAAATTCCCAACTGATTACGAAGTGGGAGTCGTGCGAGGTGACCAGCTCGAATCCCGCAAGTGCTACGTGGTTGCCTTGAAAGGGAAAGCAAAGCTAGCAGAGGATGTCAAGCTCGAGCGACCAGTGGAGTATCCTGACGAACAAGCTGCCCCGAAAGAAGAGACAGTCCACATACCAGTCTCTGTCGTCGAACCAGTCAAGACCCTTCAAACCAGTGCCTCGATCAGCGAACCACTCCAAACCCAGCTAGTAAGTTTTTTACTTGAAAATTTAGATATTTTTGCTTGGTCGGCGGCAGAGATGCCCATGATTGATCCAAAAATTATAACTCACAAACTTAATACAGACCCTTTACTTAGGCCAGTAAGGCAGAAGAAACGCAACCTCGCCCCAGAACATTGGAGGGTAGTCGATGAAGAGGTTGAGAAGTTCCTCACGGCAGACTTCATCAAGGAAGTCCACTACCCGAGCTGGGTGGCTAACTCGGTTCTAGTGAAAAAAGCCAATGGCAAGTGGCGCATGTGCGTCGACTACACCGACCTGAACAGAGGTCGCTACCCAAGATCATCAAGGAAGTCCTCACGGCAGAATGTTTCCCGCTACCCAAGATCGACCGCCTAGTGGACGCGACCTCAGGGCATGAATTGCTGAGTTTCTTGGACACCTATTCCGGTTACAACCAGATTAGGATGGATCATGCCGACAAAGAGAAGACCGCTTTCATAACTGAGCTCGGGTTATATTGTTACAAGGTCATGCCCTTCGGATTGAAAAATGCAGGGGCAACATTCTAATGCCTTGTAAATAAGATTTTTGAGCCGTTAATCGGCAACAAAGTAGAATGTTATGTTGATGACATGGTTGTGAAGACCCAGCTTTCAAATTCTTTGTTGAATGATTTAAAAGATGTTTTTCAAATTTTATGAAGATATAACATGAAGTTGAATCCGAATAAATGCGTCTTCGAAGTCACTTCGGGTAAATTTCTAGGCTATATAGTCAATCGACGCGGCATAAAGGCCAACCTGGACAAAATAAAAGTGATTTTAGATATGAGACCACCCCGAAAAATAAAAGAGGTCCAGAGGCTGACGAGCCAGATAGCCACCCTGAGCCGCTTCATGTCTAAATCGGCGGACCGATGCATACCCTTTTTTAAAGCTATAAAAAAGAGTAAGGACTTCGAATGGACTGAAGAATGTCAGCTCGCTTTTGACGAGCTGAAAAGATACTTAGGTACCGCCCCAATTTTAACTCGACCCGAAGAAGGGGACGTGTTAAAGCTATACCTCTCTGCGAGCGACTAAGTGGTTAGTTCGGTACTGATCAAAGAAGTAGATCGGGTCCAACGACCCTTGTACTATGTTAGCAAAATTTTGCAGGATGCAGAAACTAGATATCCGGAGATCGAGAAACTAGCATGTGCACTAATCATAGCAACCCGAAAACTTCGCCCGTGCTTCCAGGCCCATACTATTGTCGTTCTCACCAACAAACCCCTGAGGCAGATTCTGCTCAAGCCTGAGGTGTCTAGGAGATTAACGAAGTGGTCCATCGAGCTGAGTGAATATGATATCCGGTATGAGCCTCGGCCAGCAGTCAAAGCTCAGGTCTTGGTCGATTTTGTAGCAGAGTGCATGTTCAACACAGCGACCCCCAAGTTGATGAAGGGTGATTTGGCACAACCTAGTAAGAAGGGGACACGTAGACGCGATCTGCTCGAGGAGTGACAACCCAGTCAAATAAACCCATTTCGCAACATTCGGAGCTCGAGTATCCAGCCACCTTGTCCTAAAAAACCACCTCGGCGTAGAGACACCTCGACACCCAATACAGTTCGAGAATAAAGAACCGAAGTGCCAGTTCGGAGCTAATGAGCCGAAACGCCACATAACCGACTCCAAAGGCCTCCCCAACATACCCTAAATTTCTCAAGATCACGATGAGACTCGTCCTAGCTCCACCTGAATCAGAGGTAAACGATAAACCTTATCAACATACTGCTTTCCTTCAAGAATGGAACAAACCTTATCTGCATAGCCCGGAGATCCCGGAGCTCTTTCGTAAGGCCCACGACTACTCCATTATATAAAGGACAAGAAACCTCAAGGCAAAGGTACGCGTGATTATTTTACTCACTAGCATTCAAGCATTCAAGATTCAGCTCGCATTTATATTATAAGTACTGACTTAAGCATCGGAGCGACCTCTCCGAGTCAGCTATCCCGGGTTCTCTAATCTATTATTCTGCAGATTGGTCCAGCTCGCCACCCAACCAAAGTTCGGATCATCTTCCAACTAGGAGTATTTAGATTGCACACCATCAACAAGCATCAAAAGTTAGCTCGATTGCTCTTTCTTTCTCAAAATTTTGGACACAGAACCAGTTTCTAACAATATCATAAACTGATAAATCTCTAAACTTGCATTTTCTATGATGCCAATTGACAAGCCCAACTATGATGACATTGATTGTCTCTAACTGGATCTTCTTGGAAGAAACAAAAAATAAAATAAAAAATTCTTTCATTTATCTCCTCACACTGCCCATGTATAGGAAGACCCAAAGATCCACCATATAAAAACTTGTTGGGAATAGTGCCTTGAATTCCATGGCCCATTAGGGACAGAAATATAAGACAGCCTACCATCTTGCATCAATTAGTCTCATCCTACCTAACACATGTCTACCATACGAATGGAAGAGGAAGAAAAAAGATTTACCTTCCCATTTTGATGTAAGACTTCCTCATATAAGACATTTGAAATAAAAAGGAAAGAAAAGAAAATGCATTTGCAGGTTTCCTACCTTTCTTGCACCTGAACAGTTTGAACAGCGTTCAGTTCTAGGTGGGAGTAGAGGCTGATCTCCCCCATTTACTGTTGCAACTGGCTGAATAAGAACAAGAGACCCTGTACTTGAGCAGCGAGCACAAGCAAGATAGCCTACATCAACAAGTTAACCAGTTCTAAATAAAACTAAAGTCTGCTCTTCTCTAATTAAAACTGATAAATAAAACTCTACAGTTAAGCTCATCTATGTTTGTTTTTGCGTCCAGAACTTGAAAATAGGCAAGACCACTATGGTTTCAACAATTTATTAACATCACTTTCCAGAACTATAATTACAATGACATGCTGAAGAATGAAATGAAGTGTTCTAGAGAATAATGGATCAAGAGAAACATGTGACTGGAAGCAGGAAGATGTATGCAGTTTGGGGCACCAAAGCATTTAATGCCCTTGAGATTATCTCCACTCGGGGGAAAATCCTTCTTTTCTCAAAGTGAATATTTTCTTGTTATACATGCAGAGCTGATGTGGTGCACTTAATACCACCTAATAAAGTCCCCCCCCCCTCCATGCCAAAAGTCTCCTCCACTTCTGACCAAACCCAAGCAAATGCAACATAAACAGATATTGAAACTAAGGCTCAGTTTGGGACAACAATATGTACAGTGCAAATACAAGGTTTAGAAATACAATACATGGTTTTGCACTATACATATTTGTATTTGCACTCTTCCCAAATAGACTAAAGCATTTCAAACATGCTGCAAAAATGGGTTGCATGCCTAATAATACCAGTTCCAAGGCAATATTTGCATCTTTTATGCTCCTGTTGTTTGACATTGTTTATTTCAACCACCATCAGAGCCGAGATGACTCCAACTGCTCCTCCTGAGAATGATGCCACTATAGGATCAACTTCACTGCACATTTGAAACATAGAAAGCGGTAACATGGTATATTATATCAATTAAATGGCAAAAACTAACAGCAATATCAACCGCTTGATATGATGGAAAACAAAAAGAGAAAGCAAAACATTTTTTTTTCTGGGATAAGCAACCCAACTTGAAGTTGCTTCTGGACTAGTTCAGCAGTTATTCCATGATATTAATTATTTCTTTGAACATAGACTCCAGATTTATTTCAGAGCAGGAGAGTAGTGAAATATCATGTTTTGTAATTTTCACAGTGAATTGTTTCCAAGAATACATTTGTTATCCAAGATGTTATTTTTTTGGCTGTCCAAGATATATTTCATGCAACAAGAAGATAAATGGATTAGTGAGTATCATTAATAGAATGACAAAAGGAATGACATTTAGCAAGTATAGACCAAGATAACATTATACCTCAACTGTATGGGCAGATGCAAACTACGAATGAAATCTTCATATGATGTACCACCTAGTCCCAATTTAAGCTCTAGCTGAGATTGAGGACAGAGAACAAGTATAAAATAAGATGATGTTCATGTCTCAAAAAGAAAGGACTATATCCAATAAATAAGTTATTCCACAATCTTGCAGTTTGTTCCTCAATCTTTACGAGATGACCTAATAACTTGATTCCTTGTGATCTTGACTACCCAAAAAAAATGATTCCTTGTGATCTCTAGAACTACTCCACTAGAGAAGAAACTAACAGACTTCAATATTTTATTTTATTTTTGATAATTCTGACTTCTTCCAACTATTAAATGGAAAAGCGGGTGAAAATATTGAACATTCAAATAGGAGCCTAGCTATATGGGTGCAAGTGCAATTTGAATTGCCTTAGGTTGAGAACCTAACAAGTTTTCAATGGACCTTAGCCCGATGCAGTTACAATTCTTCAAATCAGGCAACCCAACTTGCACCTCTAATCAGTTGGCATCTATCAGTCCCTTCCCCATGCATGTGTCCTACATGGTACAAATGGGAGAGTAGTAATGAATTGAGATACACCACATTATGAAATAAGCTTGATCAGATACAAGCACATATAAGACTCGTTAGTTTTACCATCTATAGTGACTCTATCTATTTGAAGACTTTTACATATCTGTACAATAAAATGTAATCAAGCATGAATTAACGAAATAGGTACCTAATAATAACAGCCTAGGTATTAACATGAAGAATCATCTTAATATCTAATTCATTCTTGCATTATTTTTCCTTTTTTTTGGTTTCCTTTCTTTATACCAGAAATGTATTCTATATAAAAGGAACAATGAAGATGCCATTTTGCTATGAAATATGACTCCAGAAGCATATTTATATGGAAATAATGAAAAATATACTAATTCTTCATGTGCAAGTAAAATGAAAGTGAGACATCATAAAATTGCCTCAAAACAAAGAAGACAATTTATAGAACACTGTAAAATATTTAAAACAAAAAGAAAAATACAAAGAAAAGAAAGAAAATAGAGCTAGGAAAAAATTCCAACTGCCCGGTGTCTTAATTAACTAGTGATTTGGAGTAAGAAACCTTACAGTAGGTGCAAGAAAGCCACCAAAAATCATTATCCCACCAATGAGAGAGAAACAAGTAGCATAATACTGTTTTAAGTTTGCTGAGCCCTGCATGCAACATAATGATTTAAGAGTTATTTAGAGAAAAGAAAAGTTTTGATTTCACATGATACAAATCAGCAAATGAAATAGATGCCTTCCATTGATACATTGTAGTCCTAACAAGAAGATTAGTTCATTACTATAAGGCTTACCAATGGAGGCAAAAATGGGATGAATGAGGGAAAATTAGGAAGCTCATTTTCTTGTTCCTCCTTTAGAATTCCTAGTTCAGCACTTTTAATCCTCTGCTGTATCCTTAGCCTACGAACCTATTAAAAGATACCAATTAAATGAATATCAAGAATAAGATGCAAGAAAAGTGAAAATGAATAAAAGTCACACAAGCAATGAATGCATTGATGGTCATTTGACAACAATTTGGTCACAGGGTTATGAATATCTATCAATTCTTTAGCCTAGAGAAGTCTATTAAGACCTTTAGGTTTACAATGCCTGATAAATTTTTGAAGACATACCAAAATAAGATTAAGGGCATATGAATTATGAAGGAGAGGATCCATATTCCAGAACATTTCAACTAAATACAAACAGATAGAGGTTCTGCTACTACTATTAGTTACCTAACCCTGGGCCATAAACATCCTTTATTGGTTTGGACTATAACATATTTTCTAACCAAACTTGTCTAATCATGAACAAAATAGAGAATATGTTTGAGAGTTGGACCTGAGTCAAGATTAGAACTATCTCCAAAACCATGTAGTTAGAACTCATCTGTTATTTGAAATACAAATGTTAGAATTCATCCTCTCACTGCTTTGGACCTGTAAATTGTATATCAGCATATTGAGGGATCTTTTTTTTTATTTGTGGGGGGGGGGGACTTCAGGATCTTCTTGCATATCAGATGTCCCTATCATCTATATCATAATTAACTAAGTAATATTCTATTTCACCTGAATGATTTTGATATTCAAGATAGCAGAAATTTAAAGTTTTAAACTTCTGGTGGCCATTTATCTCAATTCTGAATTCAATGATTATATCTTCCTATAATCCTATTTAATATGTTTGGTCCACCGCTTCATTTTTGAAACACAATTCTCCAAATCAGATTTATCTGTTACTCTTTCCTGAGTTGTTCATTACTTATCGTTTATGATCTAATGCCCTTATTATCTGAATCATTGAGCATGTTATTGATGCTGATTTATTTTCCTCTAGCTTTCTATTATTTCCTCTATTTTCTTCAGTCTTCCTTAGACCTGATTCCCTGTCATTCCATGTATTTATTTAGCTATACATGTTTAGATTTCTTTGGTTCCCTTTTCTGTAGTCTCATTTGCTGTTTTATCCCATATTGCATATATTATTCTCTATATTTGATATTTGTTTACTTGTTGTAATTTCATCCCCTACTAGTTGTTTGCTGTATTCCCTTGCGCATACCATTTCTTCTTTATTCCTCTCTTTCCTTTAGACCTCTTGTAGTCAGTATATTCCATGTTCCCTGTTCATTTAGTTTTCAGTGATTTCACAGATTTCATAATAATGGTCTAAAACTTCTAACACAAATTAGTGTATAATGAAGAGCACCTCCTCCATGTGCAGGAAAATTTTGTTTCTTCGATTTCGAATATTGTCCTGAAGTTCTTCCAGTTGCAATTTAGCGAAGTCTTGCACCGTCTCGGGTCCTTCTATGATACAAAAGCTGCATTTAGAAGCACATAACATGAGAAAATTTAGTCTATGAGATCTAAGTTCGAGTGTATCTAAAATCACATCTGCATATTAATAAGGTTGACCCTCTTTTTCAATTTCAAAGTAGAACCAAAGTTTCATAAATGAGCAACTCCTAAAATTGCGCATCACAGGTTAATCGAAAAGACACGGAATATTGTGCCTAAGGAAATATATCATGCCAAAAAGGAGATAGAATAATAAAATATAGAGGGGGAAAATAAAGAGAGCCAATAATGAAGTTTAGTTGAAATTAGAGGAAAGAAGAGCATAATCGAGCAGTCGAGTAACATATTGCCCAATCAAGGTATAAAATTAGAGGCATGAGAAATAATACCCAGCTGCATTTTTGTCCGCGGAATTGGCATCGATGGACGTAGCAGAAGAAGAGGACTGAGGGTCAGTTGCCATTAATCTCCGTTTGAGGTCGGATTTAAGCTCTACAGAATGAAATCTGGAGTTAGAAAATGGTGAATTGTGAGGAATGACGAAAGGGGTGAGAGGAGGCGAAAGCGCCAGAACTCTCCCCGTGCAGAGCATATTTGTTTCAAAACCCTAGAATTATATATGCTCGTTAATAAGCAAAAATGTAGAGACAGAGAGTCCCCCCCCCCCCTCTCTCTCTCTCGCAGTGTAACTCTGCTCTGCGGTGCTCTGTTCTGTTAAAGGAGTATCATCATGGTATGTCACAACTCACAAGGGTGAAGATTATTAGTTAAGGCCTCGTTTGTTTTTGCAGCTATGACGACGACATTTGCTACGTGTCACTGCAACAGAATTTTTAACTTCAAAGGATAAAAGAAAACCGTAGAGAATTTTGAGTGGAGAGTCAGAAGACGTTATCGTCGTGGGAAGTGAGATACCACCAGCAGTCCAGCACCATAATAGCAATCTTTTTCTTTCAAGTACAGACACGTTGACCAGAAATGGCATCGGGCACGGAGTTCAGGCCGGGCCTGGCACGGCCTACTTGCTACAGTGACCGGATCGTGCCGGGCCGTGCCCGTTTTTTGTAGGTGGCCCGGCCCACAGATCTCACGCAACTGCGGATTCACTCCTTTCTTTGTGGATGGTTTTCAACATGGTTTTTAAAACCGAACCGGTCAGGGGTCTGGTTACCGGGTTGAATGGTTCAATCGTTCAAACGGCTGGCCCGTTTTGACAATAAAAATAAAAAAAATGACCAAAACTGTTCGAACGGTTAATCACTCGAGTCAACAGTTTGCTAACCAAAATCAACGTTTTTTAAGAAGTTCTAGTTTTGGGGAAAACCAAAACCGATCACCTGATCGGTTCCCAATTTTTCTGATCAGGTCCGGTTTTGAAAACCATGGTTTTCAATGTTTCTTTCACTAGTAAGTGTATATGCTTGCACATGACAATTCTAGATGATGATAATTATAATAATAATAATATATCTAAATTTTTTTATAATTTTATGAATTTTTATTTTTTATGTTTTTTGTTTTTTATTATTAATCAAATGTAGATTGCAAAATCCAAATTTAATTATATAAACATCTCATCCAAATATGTGTTAATCAGATCAAATTATAAAGTATCAAATATTTAGATTTAAATAGACGGAATTGAATGAGGTGAAAGGTAGTAGTTCAATTTACAATTTAAACCTTATAATCAAATAAGGAGACTAAATAAAAAATGAGTATTTTAGTCACTGTTTTAAAAACTAGATCAGACTAGATGATTGAACCGTTTGGCCCAGGAATCGGTCAGGTCACCAGTTTTGTTTCGGTCTTGAACCACTATTTTACAAAAAAAAAAAAAAAAACCATCGAAATGTTAGAGAGTTGCTGACCTAGACGTTTTAACTGTTAAAATTTTTTGACCCATTTAACAATTCTCGGGTTGCTTTTAAACTAATTATAAATTCTTTATTTATTTTAAAATAGAAATGATAAAATAAAAACATTGAAAAAGAAACTTTCATATCTCATAGTCTTGTTTGGTTATTCCCAATGGCCAAAATTAATTAGGGTTTTTAATTCTTCCATTTTGATTTTGAGTTTTCTCATTTTTGCAATTCTTTTTAAGTTGTAATAGCAAAAAAAAAAAAGTTTTTTAGTTTTTCTATTTTGATTATGAGTTTTCTCATTTTTGTGATTCTTTTTAAGTTATAAGTTGTAACATAAAAAAAAAGGTTTTAGTTTTCCATTTTGATTTTGAGTTTTCTCATTTTTGTGATTCTTTTTAAGTAGTATCATCAAACAAAAATGCAACTGTTATGAAGAAATCAAAAAACTCGATTCAAGAGATGAGAAATTAAGCATCGATCTTGTATTAAAATTTTGAGATACACCAATGAAGCAAACAATCTGGGATCTAAGAGAGATATAGAGAGATGTAAGAAGAGGGAAAACGATGTTGTAGCAACAATGACGATGAACACGGAGATAGCCGTTGACATAAGTTCCCTTCTTCTTCTTTTTCCTCACTTTTCAATTTTAACAAGTTGCCTCATTCTCAAAGTCTCAACACTCCCCTCTCATAATGTGGATTTTAACCTAATCCTAATATAACATTCAAAATTAAAAGTTACGTTGTATTTTACATCTTATCAATTTGACCCACTCAAACTGAACAATTGAACCATTGACCCGAAAACTAAAAGCCAAAGTGATTCCGTTTCTGGGTCAGTTTTTAAAATCTTAATTATAGTCAAAAGAAAATTCCACAATCTTATTCATATTTTTAATAGTTATATAAATATAAAATTATATGTGTTTAATTTTTCTATCTTTTTTTGTAAAAATAATTATGATATGTGACATTTACTTTTTGTTTAATATGATAAATATATGACATTATTCATGTGCCTAAATGCTTTTTTTGCAATGCATTTTTTTTTAATTTTTAGTTTTTATATTTTATTAATTTTTTATTATTTATTTATGATATTAAAGGTTAACACATTTAACCCAAAAGTTGAACTATTTATTATTAATATTTATATTTCATTTTTAGTCAATTCTAAATTATGTATTTCATTTTTATTATCAATAAAAATAATTCTTGTTCATTACGCTTATTTTTTTTTTCAATTTGATTAATGAAAATATTATAAATATGTCTAATTTTCTACATTTTTTTTAATTTTCTATATTTATTTATATTTTAAATTTTTTATTATCTAACTATGACTTCATAGGTTTCAATTTGATTCTGATGGTAGAATTGCTTAACCACCACTTGAATAAAGAATGGTTTTATTTTTTAGTCAATTTTAAAATATATGGGTTTATATTGTTAAAAATATTGATATAAATCTAATTAATAGCATTTAATAGTGAAAAATAACTTAAAAACACCGGATTTAATAAGATAAAATGGGATTTAATACCTCAAGTATAAGACTTAATGAGAGAAAATTAAATAAAGTAGAAAGTAATAATTGAAGTTACATTTTCAACCCTTACAATTAGAGATGGATTAAATACACAAATATGGCCATTTGAATTGATATCAAAACTAGCATTAATGCTATAATAAAATGACTTTTATAACCTTTCTCTAACAAGAACATAGAAGGTAATTTTAATCCAAAAGAAGTTTTACAATGCATTCACACTTTTATATATTAATATATAGATATTATAGATTTTGGAAAGGACTACGAGCAATAATATGAGCCATGTGACAACTGACAAGACTGTTAGCTGTTTGTTTGGGCCTTGGGCGTGGGGTTGATAGCTTATAGATTGGGCTCTAGTGAGTGTCAGCCCAGCCCATGTTGGATGTGTTTGTCCTCACTCCTCGTCTACCCAAACTTGGTTCAAGTTGCAATGTTGCATTGGCTTCTATCAGAATTGAGCTTGTCTTAGTGATAAGATACAATATTAAGTTAAACCCGACCACAACATGAATCAAGATTGTACATGAACGATAAGAACCCGTTGGATCAGAATCTTTTCTTTCTGCACAATCTCCACATTTTAACGTCACGCGTGAGCCCACCGCCCACGCCTCTTGAAACCCTAAAATAAAAAGCCCGGAACCAAAGTCCTCGACCCTAAAATCAATCACTCATCAAACAAACCCTAAAATCAATCACTATAAATACAATACCTAATACCTATCTCAAGCAATCTCGAGCAATCTGAGTATTATGGGAGGAATTGGGGAGGGCTGAACTGCCAGAGTCCTGAATTCAGACGTTTTTTCACTGTAGTTAGGGTTTTGGAAGTGGCATGTATTTGTGAGATGTTTATGGGTTAATTGAAAGAAGATTGCAGTGATGACTCAGAAATTTCAAGCTCAACAGACCGGAATGCAGGCTTCTCTCTTTCAGAAGAAGCTTGCGTGTCGACTACCCCGCTGAACTGAGCGATCTTCTAATCCTTCTTTTTTTATTTTTGCTCTTTCTCTTCACTGAAACGTCTTAGATTTAGGGTTTTCGCTTATGGGTCTCTTTATCCGATTCATTCAATTTTTCTGACTTTTCTTTTGTTTATTTTTATTGTTTTTAATTGGGGGAGAGGGGAATGAGGAGGTTGCGATGAGGATAACAAGCTCCCTCTTCTGAAATCAAGTTGAGGTCAAACGCTGGCAGAATCGAACCAATTAATCATAAGCCACCACTGAGTAATCTGTTTCTTCCCCAGACCCCCTCGTTTTGCATTCATCTTTTCTTTCGAATTAATTTGACGGTAGATGAGGATCCGAGTGGTTTATCTCCTGCTCAATCCGAGCTTTTTTTTGTAGTGTCCTCATCTTCTTTTATATAATTTTAATGTATACAAATATCTTTTCTGCATTCTTTTTGTCCTGGGAAAATAAGGGTTTGCGTTCATCAGGTGATGAAATCTGGAAATAAATCTTAGGACACCTTCCTACACAGCTAGAAAGCTCTAGCTGTGGATGAGAAAGACATTTCTACTCTGATGATGAACCATACTTTTTTTTTATTTATTTACTTATCATCTCTTCGTTAATTGTACGAGGTTAATCCAACAACTTCGAATCAAAATCCATTTTCGCTACATCCTGGTGATTACAGGAGTTGTATGTGAAAAGAGAACACAAAATGAAAATGGATTTTTTTCACCAAGGCTAATCTTTGGTTTGACCGAAAATGACAGATTAAGAAATTTCAGAAGAAAAAAAACAATGGTTTTCGGAGGTGGAAATTCTTTCTTCGTCTTGTTATTAAGAAATTTGGGTTGAAGTGACCCTGCGTCTACACATTTCTGAAACTGTGGTTGAATTGCATACGTGTGTGGAACTGCAAATGAAGAATTCAAATTTTGGTTTATTTATGCTTCAGACTTGCTTCGAGTTCGAACAAAACAAATTAAAATCCAAAACAAAGTAAATCAGAATGCTTTTATTTTCTTTACTGCAAACAAAACCAAGCCAAAAACAATTTGGTTTGTATGCTATATGTAGATGGCCAGAACCTTGTTTGTTGAAATCAGAGTGAATCTCGATCAAAATTGCACTGAATCAGCCGATGACCCAATAGCTGAGATGGGTCACAGCCTCACAGGCGGGGTATCTTACCCGTAAAATTGTTTGTAACGTGTAATACGAAAAGATCGGAATTGAAGTGAATCCCTGTCAAAAGCTTGAAACTATCCAACACAATTCCCTGTTACTTGTTTCAGTACCAGTGGCAGTGGGTATAAAATTTAAAAAATATATGGGTATTATATACATTCTAGGTA